TTTGTATTGTAAAATACATTCATGAAAAACAAGTAGCTTAATATACTATTAAATTAAAAGACATTTTTTTTAAATGTATAGCACAGTAATGAGGCAGCAACATATGATAGATAAGACAACAAGAAAGGCTATTAATAATCTTTCATTGCGCAAAAGTATTAAAGGCTCCTATACGGAGCAGCACAAAGTGCTTATGCGCATCCCGTGCGCAGAATGATGCGCTTGAAGCAACACGGAGTCACAGCGTGCAGCGCTCCGCATAGAAAAGTTCAAAGCACAAAGGGAAGATGATTTTGATGCGTAGTGTATTATATCTGTGCGATAGTTTATTTAGCCTTTTCTTTTAACAGTTTAAAATTTCAGTCACTGTGCACATGAAGAACAATTCATGGTACTCTCTACTCCATGATCTAACAGACACCTGGTAGAAAGTAACGTTAACATGCTTTAGAAACAGCACTAAACTCCAGCAAGATAAAGTCCTTTTATGCAAAACCACTGATCTTTATCTACAGATCAAGTATAATAATAGGATGAATCATCATATCATCATCATCAGTGAATCATCTTGGAGAGAGTTTTATCGTCTTGACTGTCTCACTGAACACGACGTGCAGTTTGAATGCTGAATGGAGGATGACTGACAGCTGCAGCGGAGAGAAAAGTTTACGTAAACTTGTATTTAACGACTTAAATATTCATCTGTACTTCACATTGAACTATGGAACGGTCTCAGAACACTTGAGATCTTGGAAAATGCTAACTTTAGCCTGATAGCACAGAAAGCGAACGTCCCACCCTCCCTGCAGTCGCCGTCCAAACCACGCCCCCTGAACGCATATACGCTCACAGACCAGAATACCGTTAGGTTACTGATGTAACCCCGGTTCTCTGATAACATGAAGTGAGGTATCTCACTATGGGAACGCCTCAGGCGTGACCGATTGCGGGAAGCACCAATAACACCACCTCTGCCAACTATGGCAGACCAATCGCTGCAGCGATCAGGTAGTCCCGCCTCCCTGTATATAAACCGCAGCTACCTGCCATATTGTCATTCTCCGCATATCTCTTCTACGTGCAGTAAAGGCAAGGAGGGCAATGTTTGTGAGATACCTCAGTAACCTAACGTTCTCTTTCTAACATTCGTTCGGTATCTCACTATGGGATATAGACAACTCCTGTATTGCCGATATGTTGACGAAGCAGACTAAAGAAGAGTAGGTTATTATCTGAGTCATAACTCCCGACGGAGGTGAAAACAGAATAATATGAGGAATTCACCCCTTAATAAAACTGCATTATACAACCTGACTACTCACTCCCAGGACTGAGTGGGCCAGAGAGGGTTCTGTCACATCCAGTCTATAGAAACGAGCAAATGTGTGCGGAGAAGACCAGCTGGCTGCCGCGCAAATTACTTGAATAGAAATGCCTCTAAACAGAGCCCAGGATGTAGCCATACATCTAGTAGTGTGCTTGTAATCCTATTGGGGGCTCTATATTCGCATTTTTGTAACAACACGATAGCCTCCACCACCCAATGGGAAAGGCGTTGACGGGAGATGGGTTTTCCTTTGTAAGAGTCAGCCCACGAGACAAATAGCTGATTGCTCTTACGAAGCATGCGGGTTCTCTGAACATACGTATTCAGAGCACGAACCGGACATAAACTGTGTAACCTCTCCTCCTCTGGAGATGAAAAAGGTGGTGGATGAAAAGCTAGCAGGTCCACTGATTGAACTGCACCAGCGTGATCAAACACTTTAGGCACAAACGCCAGGTTAGGTCTAAAAGTTACTTTTAGACCCCCCGGAGCGAACATCATACATGAGGGGTGAACTGATCAAGCATGTAGCTCACTCACCCTTTTTGCTGTAGTGAGCGCAAGTAACAGAGCTGTCTTAAAAGCGAGCAGCTTCAAGGCAATGTTATCAATGGGTTCGAAAGGAGAGCACGTTCAGAACTACGGACAACTCCCAAGGCGGGACCAGTGGATTCGATACTGGGTGTAGCCTACATGCCCCTCTCATAAATCGACAGATGAGAGGGTGTTGGCCAATCGTACCGTGTTAAGACCAACATGACATGCCGAGATAGCGGACAGATAAACCTTAACTGCAGAGAAGGCTCTGCCCTTATCCAGAAGGTCCTGTAGGAAGCACAGCACATCCGAAACTGAACACAAGAAAGGAACAATGTTTCTATCTGCACACCATCCCTCAAACCCTCTCCATTTGAGATTATATAAAGAACGTGTCGAGGCAGCCCTCGCATTCTGAATTGTCTCTATCACTTTCGGAGGTAACCCAGCTGCATTCAGATTTAGCCTCTCACGGGCCAGGCCCAGAGAGCTAGTTTCTTAGGGGAGGGGTGAAAAATTTCCCCCGTGCTTGTGAGAGGAGATCCCTGCGTGCTGGTAACAGCCATGGCTGGTCGTAGAGCAGTTGCGCAATCTACAGTCTCCCCGGCCAGTATGGTGCGATCAGAATCATTACATGTTTGTATTGCCGAACCCTCCGTAGTGTCGACTCGATCAACGGAGGGAACGTGTACAGTAACACGTCTGGCCACTCATGGGCTAGAGCATCCACACCCAACGGTGCATCGTCACCGGCCAGAGAGAAGAACACGGGATATTGCACGTCTTCGCACGATGCGAAGAGATCTATGGCGGCCCGGCCAAATCTCTGCCACACCATGTGGATCACTTGGGGGTGGAGTCTCCACTCCCTGTACAGAAGATTCCCTCTGGACAGTAAAAAGACGGGGCTCTCCAATGACAGAGCGCTCATGCATTCTGGTGTGACGCGCACTCTGCGGCTGAGACGGCTCTTGGGGCGAATGCCCTGTGACGCTGTCCAGATCTGAAAATCCCTCATTCGCAGCAGTCCCAGGGAAACCACTGACATTGTTGAGGCCATCAGACCCAGTAGCCGAAGACACATTCTGAAAGAGACTAATCTCCCGTTTTGAAAAAGGGAGAGACAGCTGTGAAATGTCTTGATGCGTTCCTCTGATAGGAAAGCTCGAAACATCACTGAATTCAACCTGAGACCCAAGTAGACTATTTCCTGTGAAGGAGTTAGCCAACTCTTCGTCTGGTTTATCTTGAAACCTAATCTCTCCAGATGCGTCACTAGTGTGTATGTATCGCTCTCTGCTTGCCACGGGGACGGCGCACAGATGAGCAGATCGTCCAGATATGATGAAACTCTGACCCCTCCATTCCTTAACGGCGTCAGAGCCGCTTCCACAAATTTGCTGAAAACCCTGGGAGCCAAAGCAAGGCCAAATGGTATTTACCTGTGAGCAGGAAAAATATCTCTGTGAAAATATGCCTCCTGGAGGTCCACCGAGGTGAACCAATCTCCCTGACGAATACTTTGACACAAAGTTCTGAGCGAAAGCATTTTGAATTTGTATTTTCTGAGGTGTTTGTTGAGGACCCGTAAATCCAAAATGGGACGGAGACCTCCCCCTCTTTTGGGAATCACAAAATACTGGGAGTAAAAACCTATGTGGCTTTCTCTCGTTGGAATCACTCTTATCACTCCTTTTCTCATTAAAGAGGATATTTCTTCCTCTAAAACCTGAGCTGCTTCCCCTTGGGCCACTGAGATTACCACTCCATTGAACACAGGAGGTTTTACAGCGAATTGAAGTCTGTATCCCCTGTCTATCGTGGTTAAAAGCCAGGGATGAAATGCGCATGCGCGCCAGTTTGCCACCTAAGCTATGAG